ATGTAAAGGATTGCAAGCGACACGCAGCCCAGAGCTGGGAGACAAATGTAAAGGATTGCAGGGCAGAGCAGCTGGGAGACAAATGTGAAGGGTTGCAAGTGAGAGGGGAGAGAGGAGGCACATGTAAAGGAAAGAAGGAAGACAAGGCGGACACAATGACCAACAAGAAGGGGGACAACAAGGGAGACAAGAAGGGAGACGAAAAGAAACAGAAGGGAGACAAAACGGACACAGTGCCCAACAAGAAGGGAGAAAAGACCGGAGACAAAGGGAGCCAGAAGGGAGACATGCGGACACAATGACCAACAAGAAGGGGGACACGGTGACCAACAAGAAGGGACCAAGGGACACAAGCCGGACGGAAGGCGGACACGCAGTCCGGCAGCAAGGCGGACACTCTTAGAAAGCATTTAGAACCCCTAACAGTAACCTGTTTGCGGACGTACAGAAATCACCTGGGAGACAAATGAATAGAAATGCTGGAAAGGGGGAAAGGGCGGATGCCAGCAGTGCAGGCACCGAACCTGGAAAACCAAAGTAAACAAACCACACATGTGAAACAAATGAATAGAAATGCTGCATGGCCAGTGGAAAAGGGCGGACACCAGCAGTGCAGGCACCGAACCTGGGACACAAAAGTAAAGAAGTCACTTTAAAGACAAACGAATTGAAATGCTGCATGGCCAGCGGAAATGGGCGGACACCAGCAGTGACAGAAAGGGCGGACACATCTTAAGAAAGAATTGAGAAACTCTACGTGACGGCAAACTGTTTGGGGAATGAATAGAAATGTTGCATCGCTAGCAGAAAAGGGCGGACACCAGCAGCGACACAAAGGGCGGACACATCTTAAGAAAGAAGTGAGAACCCCTAACAGTAAACTGTTTGGGGAACTAAAAACATATTCGTTTGAGTTTCTACTAGCGAGGGCCTCAAGAAAATGAAACAAATATCTCATTCGAGCGCGACCGCCACAGAATCTTGGATCATCAAAACACAGAACAAAACACAATATGTTTCTAGTCCATCGCTACTGGGTTGTAGGTTGGAGGCCATCGCTATTAGTAACAATACACAATATGATTTCCGAGTCAGCATCATATCCAGCTAGTCGCAGAACTTTGGCCTTACGTACAACTTCCTTGAGGGGCTTGGAGGAGGCTACCTCACCTCCTCCCAACATGAAGTTCACAAGTCCCAATGACCAAACGGTTGTCGCGTTGAACAGCGGCATCGCTACTAGTAGTAAGGCACCTTGCTACTAGTAGCTTCTTGCTCCTAGTAGTAATGCCCTTGTCGTTTGAGAACCAAAGCTCGAATCAGCTCACAGCTCCACAAAAGCCCACCACAGCCGTACCGTGCAGAGGCATGTGCTCTTAGAGTTTCTTGAAACCGCACGTGGTCCACCCACACTACAAACCATATCCTGTGAACGAGGTGACATGACCCAAAAGTGTAACAAGTTTCCAGAATCGGCACGAAACTCTGAGGTTCCTCCAAGCAACCTGTAAGGACATGGTACTGCTTGAAGGTCGTGGCCTCTGTCGTTGTGGACCCTGGCCAGGCCAAATGATACCGCCTTGCAGCCCTGTCAAAATCAATCTTTTCAGGTGGTGATGGCACCAAGTGACACAAAGCCTGACCAGCTGCAAAGGTGAGCCCGTAGCCCAAGTTTAGAATGTTTATCCAGGGACTGATCCTTAGAAAAGCAAAGTGCCTGTCACTCTGCTGAATCACGGCTCCAGCTTCAGATGCATCTCCTTGTTTCTTCCACACCCAAAGAAGCTGCAAGAATTCAGTTGCCACAATCCCAGGTACACAGGGCAATGGTAGTCCGGTTGTTGCGTAGCCCGTTGCTCGAGATGGTTCATGTACAACTCCTGCAGTTCCAGTGTGTTCGTTCACAAGCTGTTCCAGCAACTTCAAGTGTTCCTGTTCGAGCATGTCATGTTTTTTTTCTCCAGGTGCTCTAGTTGATGTCGCAGTTGCAAGGAGATCAAGTAGAAGCGCTTTCATTCGAGATTGCGAGGCAGCCCGAACACTGGGATCGGAGGGGCAGCCCAAGAGTGAAAAACTGGCTGCTTGCCAGAGTGAGGCGGCATAAAGGGCCAGGACGAAAAGGACGTAAGGCGTCATCACCTTGCCAAACCTCAAACTGAGTAAAGAAGAATCAGGCTGAATGAAATGAGTAGGATGGTCTGATTGAAGTCATCTGCCGAGGATCCCTTCAAGCGTGAAATACTCTCGGCGAGCGGTCTATAAAGGTGGTCTGTTGCGGTCTGTGGTGTCTTTCCTTCTCGCCATGGGAAAAAAAGAAGCATGAAAAGTTTTGAGGCTTCTTGTTACAAGTAGTAAGGCCAGGAGCTACTAGTAGCGTCCTTGCTCCTCGTAGCGATGCCAGGAGCTACTAATAGCTTCTTGTTACTAGTCTAAAAAAAGAAACACACCAAAGTTCTTTTTGAAACAAGAGTTCTTTGGAAAGAACGTAATGCGGATCCTGAAGTTTCAAAAAACTCTCTACACAACAAAGGTTGAGCATGGTTGAGCCGTGATAAACAAAGACCCAGCTAAAACCAAATTGCTCTTTGATCATTTGCGCCAAAGCGGTTGAGCCAGAGTCGAGGTGGCCAAACACTCTCAGCACTTCATGAACTCGCTGGCTTCAACAACTTCCGCTGTGCCTGTTGAGCCATCTGCATGTACTGTCCAGACCTGCACATTGGTTGCACGCTTTCAGTTTGCACATCCAATTCCTAGATCTTTTCATAAAACCAGTTTGCTTTGGTATTCCCCGAGCCGTCTTCATCTTGGCTTTCTTAGCGACAAAACCAAACACTTGCTGGAACATTGACTTGGCATAGTCCCAATTCAAGCCAACGAACATTTGACCTTTCACTGTTCAAGCCTGCGTCTTGAACGATAGAGGTCCTGCAAACAATGAAGCGTAAATGAAGAAAGCAAATCTGGAGTGTCGTTGAAATGCTTTTCTCTATGTCACATCAATTGAAATCATTTCTGAAAAAAGTTACTAAGTTTGGAATCCAGCCATTATCATTGCTTGCAGTCTTCCTTGGATTTGCTGCTGCACCTCCACTCTCCGGGAGGTCCTTAAGCGAGCTGAAAAAAACGACAAAATGCAATTGCACGAGTGAACTGGGAGTCTAAAGAGTGAAGCAATCTTCTTCGGCTTCTTCGGCTTGGCAAATTCACTTCGTTTCTTTCGTTCACACCATTCAATTTCACGCCTGCACCTGTGTCCGAACTGTGTGAATCATCATGCCTGGCCGAGCATGCAACTCTCGCATGAAGCCGTTCAATAGCAAAGGGCTTGATAGGAAAGACTCGAGGTGATTCTGTTCGATTTGTGCTTTTCACGTACACTATTCTATTTTTTTCTCATGGTAGCTCTTCATTTTGGGGGGTAACTCGAAGCAGGCGCTTGACCGCTCTTTAAGCTGAGAATCGTTTCCAGAGAGCCGAAACACTCTCAAGAGTTCGTCCAAGAAAGCTTCTTGTTTCTACTAGTAAGGCACTTGTTACTAGTAGCTTCTTTGCTACTAGTAGTTTGTTCCTAGCAGTAAGGCCAGGAGCCCCTAGTAGCGTCCTTGCTCCTAGTAGTAAGGCCAGGAGCCCCTAGTAGCTTGTTGTTACTAGTAGTACGGCCAGGAGCCCCTAGTAGCGTCCCTGCTCCTAGTAGCGTGGCACTTGTTACTACTCTGAAAAATGATCGCTTCGGAAAACGCCACAAAGTGAAGAGATCAGCCTGGCGCTACGACCATTGCGGCTTTCAACATCAGCATCTGCATAGGCGGTTGAACATGGTGAATGGTGGCTACTCTCTGTGGCTCACTGGACAGGATCTGCATTGTGGAATTGCAAAAACTCTACGATCGACACGCAAACTGCAGAGATGTGAGAACTTCAAACGGACTGCAAGAACTCCTGCAACTTTGGTACGCCGCGGCTTTGCGGTTTCACAAGCCTGGACTGCATGTCTTCACATTTGCATCAGGCGCTTTCTCCCGAAGTAAGCAACTTGATAGAAACCAAGCAAAACACCTGAAACAAGAGAGCAGACTTGAAATAAACAAAAAATGACAAGACCCCGGCTCCTGTGCAGATCACAAATCACATCGAAACTACCTAGGGACCTAGAAGGGTAAAAGTAAAAACTAAAAGGTCTCAAGGTCCCAAGAGCAATCAATGTTTTTCTCCTAGGAATGGCCTTCAACCTGATAGCAGTTCCTCCTTTCGGATGTGTTTAATAGAAAAAGTCAAACCACTTAGAAATCTCAATACATTCGGCCTGACAAGGAGAGCTTTGCCTGCAGCCGTGGACAGCTCTCGCAGTGACTCCGAAGTGATATCCAATTCCATTGCTTGCGTTGTTCTTGATCGATTTCCACCGACGTGCCTCTCTGACCATGCTGGAGGGCTTCTCGGATCTTCTCGACCTCCATGGCAGTCGCCGATTGAAAGTTTGTTTGGTTTGAATCGTCATTGAGAAAGTAACGCTTATCTGCAACCCCAAATGACAGCAACGCGGAATGGCACAACACATTGCAAATTGATCAGCTGCAGCAGGCGCAGCCAGCAGAACCCATGAAACAGTGAAAGCTGCTTTGTCAAATAAATAAAGGAGAACTCGCTATGCATTCGTGCTTCAAAGAACAAGAGACCTTTCAGCTTCGCGAAAACGCAAAAGCCCAAATAGGAAGAAGGCACTGGTTGTTTCACCACGGTCATCGTGCAAAGTCTGAAGTCTTTGCTCCGTTCGTAGCGTCCGATCGCTCCTAGTAGTAAGGCCAGGAGCCCCTAGTAGCGTCCTTGCTCCTAGGAGCGATGCCCTTTGCTCCTAGTAGCGATGCCCTTGTTCCTAGTAGTCAGGGAAATGCACAAAGGCGCATGATTTGAATTTGAAGACACCAATGATTGGGATGTGCCTGGCTTCCGCCTCACTCTTCGTCTTCTCCTCAGATGTGTTCAACCCACAGCTTCAATATTCTGGGAGCCTTCGCATTCTGCTAAACTGCACTCTTTTGTTTCATCCGGCGCATGCTTAAACCGCATCCTAGTTTGACAAAACTGACGTGAAAGGGGGTGCACGTTGAATGAGACATGGAGCCACTACCAGACAGTGAGGAAAGGATTGTTTGGCTTGTCTAGGAGGAAACCACATTTTCGCTCTTGAGGATAAGTCTAGCCTATGGAAATGATCTGCGACAAGTGATCGAGGCACCAAAAACTACATCATTTGGGAGCGTGGATGTTGTCAAGCAACGTGAATACACGCATTCTGCTCTTGGGTGTCCCAAGACTGACACAAAGCCAACCAGGAGGTGGGCGCGGAGGTTCTGAGTTTGTTCAATCCAGCACCCCTGACAAGGGAAGTAGCAAGAATGAAGGTCAAATGGCCAAACACATGGTAGGGTTCGGCCGTGAGTTCTTGTCGCTGCTGAAAAAGGTAGTGACTGCAAGGCTCCAACGTCTGTTTGTATTGGTGAGGTGCCAGGTTCTCGTGAACCGGTGGCGCGGCAAGGTGCAAACACTGGTACAGAATAGTAACGATAAAAGGAGCACTTTGCACTGCTCATGGGATGGTGCTATCAGCTATGAAGTGGTGGGTTTTTCTGAAGGATTCTGACAGTGAAATCCGCTGCGATGTCGAGCGAGTTAAGTGTTTTGGAAAAACAATGAAGCAAGTCACAAGTCGTTGGGTTTGTTGGTGAAATGCTGCTACTCTTTTGCCCACTGCTGGTGATGTGATGACTTTATGTGGCTTTTACTGTGATATTTGTAGTTTCTGATCAAGAAAGGATGCTTTATGCTTTGCACGCAGTATGTTGTGCATTTCAACAGCCGACGTGTGTGAGCAATGTGCGTCAGCTCGTTCCCACCCAATCTGATATGATTGGAGGCATCACACCAGGGGTGATCTCGGGTCGACCTTTTGACTTGAAGCACTGAAGCCTTTGCTCACTTTGAAATGCGAAAGCTTGCTAAACTAGCTTTAGTTCCAACACTGTTCAAAAGGCTTTAACCTCGGATCGATGAGGCCGGAATCACAATGCTACAACGTGAGGGGATAGTACATGGAAAAGAAAAGAACCGCTCGCTCAACTTAAACATCAAGGCTATGGAGAGTCTAAAAGCTTGTGCACCTCGCACATGTCAACAGAATCGTCCTCGTCTGTAGAACAATCATCAAAATCAAAGGATTGACATTCCAGTTGTAACAGTCACTAGTAACAAGGTGCATCGCAACTAGTAGCAAGAAGCTACTAGTTGCGATGCACCTTGTTACTAGTAGCGATGCACCTGCTGTCAAGTTCGGGTTCCTGAGATTTGCTGGAAGTAGTGAGGCTGATCGTAAGCGCAATGCGTTCCACATGTTTGCCAGCTTCCACCTCCTCTGTGAACGACATTTAATACTCCCCATGCTTTCAATGTCCAACAGGCGATGGAACAAGGAGAGCGAGAAGAAGCCAAACAAAAGATTTATATATACTTGTTCCTAGTAGCGTGGCACTTGTTACTACTAGTAAGGCACCTGTTACTACTAGCGTGGCACTTGTTCCTAGTAATATATTTCAACCCACCTTCAGGTCCAGATTGCAATGGAAAGTTTTTGGGCGAGAATCTTGAATTGGTTTGTCCATGTCCACACTTTGTTCCCAAAAATGGCACGAGGCAAGGAAAGGTCGAGAAAAGCGGTGGAGTCCCCAGCGATCAAACAAAAAAGCTACTGGTAGCAAGGACGCTGCTAGTAGGAACAAAAAGCTACTAGGAACAAGGGCATCGCTACTAGTAACAAGAAGTTCAAACAAAAAAGAGCGCCCCACCGAATCCAAAAGCACTTAGAACCTGATTCTCCTTCAAGTACTGGCACCTTCTCTTGCTTCCTTTAACCACGTTCTGAGCTCCGAACTTTTCTGAGGCCTCCAAATCTTTGGGAGGTCCTTTCAGCTCAAAAGAACCCCCACAGAATACATCCAAAAATGTCTGAGAGAAGTGCTCTCTGGAGTGTAACGTCTAGCTGAAGGCGACGGTGTTCTCCTGAGAAGTGTGGCTCATCAGTTGACGGTTCTGAGAACTTGTTTACGGTTCTTTTTTACAGCCCGCTCCCCCCCTCCCTAGGTTGGAGGCAATCGGTCTTACGTTGGAGGCCATTGCTATTACCGGAAGCGTCCTTGAAGAAGCCTCAGCTGCCGGAGCTCTCCTGCGTCCATAGCGCTACTTACTAGCTTGCCTACTCAATCTTACGCACCTCTTACCGGCCTACCCAACCCCCAAATGAAGCTACTAGGGGCTCCTGGCATCTACTAGGAGCAAGAACGCTACCTGGGGGTACTACTAGGAGCAAGAACGCTACTAGGAACAAAAAAGAAATATAACTCTGTTTTCAGGAGAGCCTGTACGGCGACGGGCTCAGCGGAACTCGTTCCCACCTGCCGGAGTGGCACTCGAGTCCAAGGCCGATGTCAAGGATGCTTCTGCAAAGCCAACCAAAAGAGAGTATACCTAAGGCTTCTGTGTCCCATTCCCAATTTGGAGTGTTTGCAATGTCAACATCAAACTGCGCGATGCCTGTGATGCCGATCAGATCGTGAACGTGATCGGTCAAATTCAGATCGACCTCTCAAGATCACCTCACTGCGACCTTGGCGAAACAAAAATACACAGGTCATAGCTAGCGAGTGGAGGCCATCGCTATGAGGGTGGTGGCCATCGCCAGTAGGTTGCAGGCCATCGATAGCAGGGTGGAGGCCATCGTTATTGCAGTGGAGGTCACCGCTAGCAGGGTGGAGGCCATCGCTATGAGGGCCAGGAGCCCCTAGTAGCGTCCTTGCTCCTAGTAGTAAGGCCAGGAGCCCCTAGTAGCGTCCTTGCTCCTAGTAGCGATGCCAGGAGCCCCTAG